ATAAATTTAGTTGTAAAACTAGTTTTTGTAGTTCAGCAGAACATAAAACGAATAAAAAGACTCAAAGAAATTCAAAATCTTATACTCAATCAATTGTTCATCTTACCCAAGAAGAACATTCAGTACAGTTCATAGTTCCAAATATGTACATTGTCAGGAGGACTGCTATGTTATCCCTTATATTACAACCAAAATGCAGTAGGTATTAATAATGTGAATAACACTGATTGAGCTGTCACCTGTGAAATAAATAAATTTCTGAATGCTAAGGTAAAACCTAAATTTTACATTTAAATTTGACTCTATGATTTAAATAACAAAATCACTAATGACCAATTAAGATCACAATAACCAGCCAAGGAAAGGTTATATTGTTTAGATGACCATATATATATATATGTGTGTGTGTGTATGTATTAAGAGGCACACACATACATCTTTGAAAACCAAAAATGAGGTGTACGTAAATTATAACTTTTGGGCTATGGTCTGTCTTCTAATAATCACAGCATATGCATACATTTTTGAAATTGTAACCACCCTGTTCTTCATTTTAGTACCCACTTTTCTAGGCTTTTTCTAGCTAATTTTATTATGATTGCCTATTTTGATTTTTATGTTATTTTAATTATGTTATAGGCTGGCTGAATTCAACGTGTATTTTTTGTGTCTATATTTAAAACTAAAATTTATACCAAAAATGCGTGTTTGTCTAGATAGCAATTATTATATGTTACTAGTTTTTCTAACAGATGACATTATGAAATGAAGTTTTGATAGTAATACAATTCTTAGATTTGAATTTTATATATATGTAAGCTTTCTCCTTAATAATATTGTCAACTTGTATCTCATAGAGCATTTCTGAAATTTTTCTATATGTTGAATTGTCACTTATACACACAAATTTACAGTTTTGATATTTTATTCACAAGTTTTAAGTATATATATATATATATATTTTTGATTATTGTTAGTTCATTTCAAAAATTATTTCCATACAAACAATTTTTTGTTTTAAATAATGATACTGACATTTTTTCATGTTTTAGTTTGAGGTGGTTTTGTAAGGATTCAAACCTGGTGTTCTTAAGAATTACCATTTAATGAATATAGATTAATTTAATATAACAATGTTTAGAGACAACAAGAGACCTATTGGTCCATTTAGCCTGTTCCATCCTCTAAACTAAAACGTATAATATAATTATCAAGCTTTCTCTTAAACTCACTTAAATTTACTGCCACAACAACATCCAAAGGCAACCCATCAACACTATCAATTCCCTTAACAATTTTAAACACCTCAATCAGATCCACTCAAACTCTTCTCTTTTAAGAGAAAACAATTTCAGTGATTTTAATCTCTTCTCATATGACAACCCCCTCCATTCAATATTTCTGTAGATACAACCTAAAATCCTATTTGTCCTACCACTAGCAACAGCACACTGCTTGGATGGCTTAAGAGACTGATCAACAACTACATCAAGATCCCTTTCTTTCATAACATTGTTAAGGTTATTACCACCCAAATTATACTTATAATTGAAATTATGATACCCAACATGCATTATCTTGCATTTATTATAATTAAAACCCATCTGCTATTTATTCGCCCAACTCACTAAATGATCTAAATCCTTTTGTAAATCAGCAGCATACTCTTCACAGCTAGCAAGACTTTAATATCATCTGCAAATTTAAGTAATTTATTGACTATTCCTTCCTTTATATCATTGATGTAAATCAAAAAGAGCAAAGGTCCTAAGAGTGAGCCCTCAGGTACCCTACTTGTGACATTAATCCAATTTGACATTTGTAACAACCCTCCGCTTTCTTCCATCTAGCCACTCTTCTATCCACCACACCTATAGAGATATCTTTTATTTTTACAAGCCTTTTATGTGGCACCTTGTTAAATGCTTCCTGAAAATCTAGATACACCAAATCTACACCTTTTCTCTCATCTACATAAGCAGTAACTTTTTCAAAGAATGTTAGAAGACTTGTAAGGCAAGATTTTCCCTTAGTGAAACCATGTTGACTATCCAATAAAATTATTAAAAGATGCTTTGCAAAGTCATTTAACAAAGTTTAACAGACTTTCCAAAACTTTTTCCCACAACTGATGTAAAACTAATGGGTGTATAATTACTGGGACACTTTTTATCACTTCCCTTGAAAAGAGGAGTTACATTAGCTAACTTCCAATCTTCTGGTACCTGCCCACAATTCAAGGACTAACAAAAAAAAATAGTAGCAAGTGATTTACATATCCAATCTTTGACCTCTTTCAAAATCCTTGGGGAAATATTATCTGGCCCATAAGCCTTATCGTTTTTTAAACTTTCCAATTTTTTCTTAATCAGCTCAGAATTAATGCAGTCATTTTGTTTGATCTCATTTCCATTTATCAACTGTTCAAGATGTGGAATACTGCTTAAATCTTTGTCAGTAAAAACTGAAGAAAAAGCAAAATTTAATAACCCAGCCATCTCATAATCATCAGATACTAGCCTTCCTTTATCATCCCAAAAGGGTCCAACCCCCATCATAACATTTTGTTTACCTTTAATGTATTTAAAGAATTCCTTACTGTTAATTTTTACATTTTCAGCCAACCTTTTCTCATACATCCTTTTATATGTTCTAATTTCCTGTTTCACCAACTTTCTTGATTTTCTATAAACTTCTAAATCTCCTGTCATACCAGTCAATTTAAATTTCTTAAATTTATAATGCTTTTCTTTAATTTTATTTTTTCAACTCTTTGTGAGCCAACTTGGTTTTTTACTTGCAGCTACCCTTTTCTTTCTATAAGGAATATGTTTACCTTGAATATTTAAAAGTTTTTTCCACATGTGATCAGTCTCCAAATACTTGTTGTTAAACAAATGTTTAAACAACTCTATTCAAAGAGTCTCCAAATAATACAGCTGCCCAATTCACAACAGATAATTATTGTTGCATCCCTTTTTTTGAAATTTGTAACTAAAATATCATTATTCCTTATCTCCATATGCAGCAAAACATCGAACCTAATAGAGCAATGATCACTTGCACCCAGATGTTCCACAATTTCCACCCTCTCAATTATTTCTGTATTTGAAGTTAACAATAGATCTAAAATAGCATTGTTTCTAGTAGGTTCCTTGACTAATTGGTGAAGAAAGCCATCCTGGACAGTTTCCAAAAACCTTTTTCCCTCATGGTTTGACTCTAGCATTTCTATATGCCTGAAATTAAAATCACCCATAATTATGACTTTATTAACAGCTGAAATCTTAATCTCATTATAAAGTTTCTCACTAATTTTATCAGTTTCTGTATGGTGGTCTGTAACAAATTCCCACTAAAAGCCTTTTCCCTTTATATCTGCTGACAGAAACCCAAATGGATTCAATCTCCTTGCTGTTATCTTTGATATCCTCAATTTCAACAGGATGTAACTCACATTTTACATATAAAACCACTCCTCCCCCCTCTTTAATACTCTATCCCTATTCAATAGCCTGTAACTCTGTATTTCAAAGAAATTTCTGTCATCAAAATCATCTACATTTAACCATGTTTCAGTTATTCCCATTATATCAAAATCCTCCATTCCTACCAGTACTCTAAATTCATCTATTTTATTTATTATACTTCTAGCTTTACAATAGTGACAATTAAGCCCATCCTCATAACTACTTCTATGCTCATTTCCTATGCTAAACTTTTCTCTGCCTGTTATTCTTTTTGCATTTGGCTTTTCCTGGCCCTCACCACTGTCTAGTCCTAGTTTAAAACTTCCCTTACAGCTGAGTTAATAGCCTTAGCAAACAAGCCAGCCCCATCTTATTTAAATGTAAACCATCCATTCCTAAAAGCTCCCTTCTTCCACTGAAATGATCCCACAAGTCCAACCAGCCAATCTGCTCATCCTTACATACTAACCTAAGCCTAACATTTAGCCCTAGTGACCTATTTATAAGTTCATCCCCACAGTTAATTCCGGGCAGTATTCCTTACAAAATTTGGTTATATCCCTTTTCTTTAAATACCCTTATCAACCCCTAGTACTTATCAATTAGCTCCTCTGACCTACCTTTCCTTACATCATTAGCCCCTACATGCACCACAAAAACTGCATCTCTGCTAGCCCCCTTTATTATATATCTTCTTCTCTGTCAGTTATATCCTCTACCTGTGGCCCTAGGTTGCATAAACTGATTCTTTTCTCCCTATTTACCCCACAGACTATTCTATCCACATGCCTTGTCAAGGAATCACCTATAACCTCCTTATCATCCACATCCTCCTCTGACCCTTTTGTTTTCCTCCAATAGTTCAAGTGTACAACTCAAGGGCAGAAATCTTTTGCTCAACAGAGCATGCTCATTACAATTAAATCCACTAATTTTAGTCCTAATAGTACTGTCTCTAACTTCCTCAAAGTCATTGTTAGCTGATGTATCACTTGCATGTAAAAGCTTAAGTTCCTCTTCAAATCCTATTGCCATTCCCCATGGTCTACACTTCTCTTTATCTATTGCCTCTACTTTAATCGTGGTTGCTTCCAACTTCTCCTACAAACTCTACATAAAAATTGCACATCTTCATTACTAACTTCCTTATACATTCAAACATGTTTTTGTACCAAACAACTTTTATGACAATGAAGTCTACATTCAGATTTTGAAAGATGTTGATCTTTTGGTAAACTTTTTTCCAGTAGACCACCATAAGATGACAACAAGTTTCTATTATCTGAGGACTTCATCAATAATTGATATCTGATAAAAAGGTTAGACAAGAAAATATAAGCTTTACAAACTTTTTCTATAGAAAATATGAATACTTAAAAAGGGGTGCTTAATATTTATCAAAACTATCCTGAGTTATTAGGTTAAATACAAGAAAATATTTTTAAGTGAATAAAAAACAAACTTAAAAACCACTTAAAATCTATATTTTCATCGGGAATAAATAAGTAATATATATTCAAAATATCCAACCTTTTGTGCAGCTGGACATGAATCTCTTCGGACAGTCTCTATGCCCTTAGCATCATATACAGGATCTTTTTGGTTGATGTTTTCATACATAAAACCAACATATCGCTTTTTGGTTTGTAAGACACATGGAAAATAAACCTGGGTTTGGGATACATAAAATGTAAAAAGTGACTATGCAGTTACAATCAGCTTATAATATTCACCTTAACTAGCTCAATCTGTTTAATTTTCTTTTCTTTCCTCTCTTGGTGTTGCCAACAGATTACTGGTTAATACATAACTCCACTGTTAAGAACACATATAAGAAAGAGTACTCTAATAAATACTGAATACACCAAAGCTTACTGTTAAAGTTATTTAAATTAGATCAAGGACAGCTGTACTGGCAAAACTTCATAGTCAGAATGGACAGTACATCTCAGACTATAACTTTTCTGTTTTTAAGCAAAAATTTAATAAAATAAGGCAGGACATCTTCTCTTAATTGCACATATAAAAGTCACAATCGCACCAAATGATCATTTGATAAGGAAGCTTCCTGTAAATAGTAAAAATCATATGATAAGACAACTTCTTGAACATTGTAGAAATCATATGATAAAACAGTTTCCTGAACATTGTAGAAATCATATGACAAGACAGTTTCCTGAAGGTTATACAAAGTATACAATAATGCAGCTTCTTGAAAGTAGTAAAAACATATGATAAGGCAGCTTCCTGGAGGTTGTACAACCCTTATGATAAGGCAGCTTTCTAGAGGTTGTACAACCCTTATGATAAGGCAGCTTCCTGGAGGTTGTACAACTCTTATGATAAGGCAGCTTCCTGAAGGTTGTACAACCCTTATGATAAGGCAGCTTCCTGAAGTTTGTACAACTCTTATGGTAAGGCAGCTTCCTGGAGGTTGTACAACTCTTATGATAAGGCAGCTTCCTGAAGGTTGTACAACCTTTATGATAAGGCAGCTTCCTGAAGTTTGTACAAATCATATGATAAGGCAGTTTTCTGAAGATAATACACATCATATATTATAAAGCAGCTTACTGAAGGTAGTATAATTCATATGACACGACAGTTTCCTGAAGGTTATACAAAGTATACAATAATGCAGCTTCTTGAAGGTAGTAAAAACATATGATAAGGCAGCTTCCTGGAGGTTGTACAACTCTTATGATAAGGCAGCTTCCTGGAGGTTGTATAACCCTTATGATAAGGCAGCTTCCTGGAGGTTGTATAACCCTTATGATAAAGCAGCTTCCTAGAGGTTGTACAACCCTTATGATAAGGCAGTTTCCTGAACTTATTGCAAATCATAAACAATGATTAACAAAGACAGAACTTTACACTGAACTGCAAAGGCAAACTAAATTATTGCATCAAATATTAGAATTATCTTGTAAACTTATTAAATTGGGTAAAAACTTAATATTTTTACACAACACTGTTATAAACCACCTCTACTTTATACTATACTAAAACATTTGTGACATTTGTACATTAATATTCAAATTTGCTAATATATACTTTACCATTCATTTTTGTAAAGTGTATGTAACAACAAAATTTTTTTGTTACAAGTCTTTGATGATGCTATATAAAATGAAAAACTGAATACTTTGGGCTTACCAACGTGCAATTTTAGCACTGCAAACTCACTATTTCTCCTGTTTTTACAAAAGTTAAGAATTAATGTGAACTTTGAATGAAAAACAAAGTTTGTGCTTTCTTTTCTTAAAATATAAAATGTGAGATTGACAGTTTTCAAATTATAACAATTGTAATTTTCATTTTTTACTCTTTATAAATAAATATTTCAAACTTTTTCCAAAAATTTCCAATTCTTCAACCTTTTTTTACCTTTTCAAACTTTAGTTTTACTGGTTTGGGATTTATAGATGTCACAGCCTCTGCTATTTCTTCTCCAATCTTAAAGGCTTCTATTTTAGATTTTCCTGGTAAGTGTACGAACATGCTGTCAACAGAAGAATTTAAACATTGACTAACAACTCTGTACTGAAAGGAACAGAAGAGAGTACATTACATGTATTCATCCATTTTGTGGGAAAAAAAATTAGAACACGTAGTCTGTTTACAAGCTAGATATGAAATGAAGTCACAGCAAGTTAACTCAGAATTGCTAAATTTATAAGTTTAATTGGAGATTTAATTATTAAAATGGATATCTGAACTGCTGGAAAATCAAACTTTGTGTTCGCATGCTTTTAATATCAATACAAGGAAGTACAGATAAACATTTGACTTTGCTGAATAAAAATATATATACTGCAAAATGGTACAAGTAACGCTTCAGTTAATCAGTCTTTACAAAAACACCATAACACATCGAGTCCAGCTACATGATTTAGCATAATTAAATTTCATATTTACTATTTTTTACATAAAATGCATTTGAAGAGTTTCCTAAAGTATTTCATAAAACTTCCAATGCACTAAAATTTGACTTGTTTTTATAAGTCTACAAATAACTAATTCCAAATACTGTGAACTGAAAATCAAATAAAAATAGTGTATTTATAACTTTAATTACAAATTTATAGAATAGATTCAATGGTACAAAAACTGTTCCTCTATTGGTTGGTAAGCATGTTTAAATATTGTAGATCTAGCTGGGGAGTGTAATCACAATACTTGTACAAGTAGACAATCCAGGGAAATCTAAATAGCTGACATCTATTTAATGATATCAATAACTAAAACTATCATTAATATCATATATACACAATTCTGTGTATTACTAGAACCTTTGTACGTCTGCTAATTAGTCTTTGTATTAAAGATTAATTTTATGAAAGCCTAAGCAGAATAGACTTGAAAACCATAAAAATAGTAGAAAAACTACATGCTGAAAGGATCTTATATTACATCACATTAAAACTACATGCTGAAAGGATCTTATATTATATCACATTAAAACTACATGCTGAAAGGATATTATATTACATCACATTAAAACTACATGCTGAAAGGATCTTGTATTATATCACATTAAAACTACATGCTGAAAGGATCTTACATTACATCACATTAAAACTACATGCTGAAAGGATCTTATATTATATCACATTAAAACTACATGCTGAAAGGATCTTATATTACATCACATTATAATTCTCTTAACTCAATAACTTTAATAAATCATTTATACCTAGTACAATTAAAAGATGACTTTTATACCTAAAAAATTTCATTTTGTTAAATACAAAATCAGTGTTAGCAGTAGGAAAACAACACAGGTTAGTTTATATAAATTTAATATTCCATGAATAAAATATGAAATAAAATAGAAACAGCTACTAAAACTTAAACTCATGTAATAAAACTTCATGGTTCCACCAGGTTTATTAAAGTTATGATATGGTAATAAAAGTATTACTAAGGAAAGCATATTGATGTGAATGCAAAAAAAACACTTAACACATTTGGAAATTTATTCAATATTTTGTTAATATGCTCTGAAAATATCACTACATCCAGCTTATTAGTGTTAAAGCTTCAAACCCTAGAATATTTAACATAGTTTATGCTATTTCTAACTTTACCTGTCTGTGTCACCATACACCACTCGAGCTTTCCATTTGGAAGTGCTTTCGACCAGCTGAATAGCTTGTTCTAGAGTCTCTCGTGCCTTGCTTACAATACTGTCAGCAACCTTTGTGCATACACCATTCAGAATAAATTATAGTATTTTCTTTAAGATATTATGTTATGTAATAGAAAATTTTATATTTATTAATGACATAACAGCGAGATACTTCATTATGCTTAAATTCCTGTCTTAACAGAAAACAGAATTGCATGCAACAGTTTGGCAATTAAGCACGACAATAAAAAAAGCTCAGTAAAACAAATGATCAAGAACTGACTGAAACAAAATTTGGTATTACGTGACAGAGAGAATTAAATTCTAGCTTTGAACATAAGAAAATTACTTTTAGATATTTAATATTACTTTGTACACATTTCAAGAAAAAGAGTCTGATGATCTTTTCATTTAATTTTCTACCCAAAATTACATATTACTTTTGTGTGGTCAAATAAGTTTAAAAGTTTAATGAAATATCAATATTAAAATACAAGAGAAAACCACTGCATTTACGGTTCTACTTTGTAATATACTAAATGTAATTGAGGTCATGTGCTAAATTCAGACTGAGATGGAAGGCTATCTACTGTTTCATTGGGTAGTTGTAGATTATTTTACATTACTTTATGTATAGATGATTGTTCTACAACTGCCATGTGGAGCAGAGATACTTCTACATTCTTGTGATCCATCTTTATGATTGGTCAGCTACAAAGATGATGTGCATTGCGAATACAGTTTTGGTACTTTTACAGAGATTTCTTTCTATCTTCAGAGAGAGAGAGAGCAAATTTGTTTCTGTATTAAAGAGTCAAGACTTGCTGTTGAAGTTTTCTCTGTGTTTTAAAATTTTATCAGTTATGTGAGTTAACTTACTTGACCTTTAAGTACAGTTAACCATACATTTCAACTCAACCTATCACAAAGTAACAGTCATTTCCACCTAAACAATTGGTCATTCTCTGTTTTTTTTCAAAAAATACAGTTTATTTTGCATAATCTTCACACCAAGTTTTGTCTCTTTAGTCCACAATTACAAACCCCATACCTGTCTCGTTCCACCACTACACTTGTCTTGGTCCACCATTATAAACCACTACACCCATCTTGTTCCACAATTACAAACCCCATACCTGTCTCGTTCCACCATGACAAACCAATACACCTGTCTCGTTCCACCATTACAAAACAATACACCTGTCCTGTTTCACCATTACGATCCACTACACCTGTCTCGGTCCACCATAACAAACCCTACACCTGTCTCGATCCACCATTACAAACCCTACACCTGTCTCAATCCACAATTACAAACCCAACACCTGTCTCGATCCACCATTATAAACCACTACACCCGTCTTGTTCCACCATTACAAACCACTACACCTGTCTCAGTCCACCACTACACTTGTCTCGGTCCACCATTACAAAACAATACACCTGTCTCGGTCCACCATAACAAACCCTACACCTGTCTCGATCCACCATTACAAACCCTACACCTGTCTCAATCCACCATTACAAACCCAACACCTGTCTCGATCCACCATTATAAGCCACTACACCAGTCTTGTTCCACCATTACAAACCACTACACCTGTCTCGTTCCACCATTACAAACCACTACACCTGTCTCGTTCCACCATTACAAAACCAATACACCTGTCTTGTTCCATCATTACAAACCAATACACCCGTCTTGTTCCATCATTACAAACCACAACACCTGTCTCGTTCCACCATTACAAAGCACTACACCTGTCTAGGTCCACCATTAAGCACTACACCTGTCTCAGTCAACCATTACAAACCACTACACCTGTCTCGGTCCACCATTATAAACCACTACACCTGTCTCAGTCAACCATTACAAACCACTACACCTGTCCCGTTCCACCACTAGACTCGTCTCAGTCCACCATTACAAAACAATACACCTGTCTGAATCGACCATTACACACCACTACACCTGTCTCCTTTCACCATTACAAACAAATATGCCTATCATGTTCGACCACTACAAACCACCACACCTGTCCTTCTGCATACTAGGTTCTTGAATCTTTCATTCTACCATTATGAACCACTAAACCTGTCTCAATCCACCATTATGAACCACCAAACCTGTCTCATTTCACTAGGTTCTTGAATCTCTAGTGTTACAGAAATCAGGTAACTATGTAGTAGGTTTATCCTTGTAATTACCGCATGTGTATAAGTGTTTTCTGATGACAGCTATCATTTCTAATTATTTTAACTCATGTGACAGTGGAGAACCAATTTTTAACCTGGGTGATTAGCTGATGTACTTTTGTAGTTAATATATTGTACCCTAGAGTTCCATTTTGCTGTCTAAATCAAACCACTACACAAGTTAAGCATACATCAAATGAAAAAAATACTTATTAAAGTGAGTTATTTAAAACTCTTTCGAAATGTATTATAAACAAGAAAAAAAATCATTTAGCAACTACTAAAGAAATTCAATATAAAAAGTATTTGTATATAATAATAATAATAAAAATTCTAAATACAAAATAGTTGCATATAGACAATTATTGCAGAGCCAAAATGTGAATAATCACACTAACAGCTAAAATAATCTGTAAAAGTATATTTTACCTCCACACAAGGCATGCGGCCAGAGTAATTTGCACCAGTGTAGCCATAAGTAGTGTTAGCTAACATCTTTAGTCCCATTTGTTGTGCATCTAGCAGTCGTAGAAGGCCCTAAAGCAGTGAAAAAATATAATCCATATTATCAGTACTTTTTTTTTATCTGATCCAATTATTATGATATTAACATGAATGGTGCTTTAAAACACACTGAGTAAATGTAGGTCAATCATAGAAACGAAATATAACTTTTTGTTTTATGTACATCAAGCTCATTGATACTATATTTTGTGGGCCTTTAAATAAAACCTTCAACTATTGTACATTACCTTTTCCTTCTAGTTTTCACTTGTACTAGTATAGCAGTACTTTCATTTAAGTTATGGCAGTTTCAAAGAACTACATGCTTCCCAGCTTTGGTTATCTAAGTACTTAATGGAAGGTTTAGTAAATTTTCATTAAACATTATATTTAGTCAACACAGGTGTCTAATAATGGTGGAGTACATTTGAATAAAGATGTAAAGAAATTGTGTAAAATGCTGAATAAGATCCAGAACAAATGCTTTCAATATTCTTCAGGAAAAGGGTGAAAAATTTAGTTTTAAAGACTTCTATCTTTTCTGAAATGATAATTTTGGAAATTAATGCATGAGATTTTAATATGAAGCATTTATTTGTTTTGCTGGCTGTTTTGTTGGAAGAAACATCACCATATAACAATATATGTGATATTCAAAAGTGGAAGGTCGTCTGCCAATAATTCAGGTTTATGACTTGTTTATTATGTTTGTATCATCAGCCACAGGCAGGTTTCTGGTAGTTGGCTATCCAAAGAAAGTAGTTTATATAAAGTGTGACTTCAAAATGACTTCTGTCATTTGGCTCCTGATTTTTTATCCCAAAGCTAAAGTTTTGTGTATCCCAGTTTATAAGTTATCTTATGAATTCGTTTTCTTAATTCTGAGGAGTATGTTGTTATAATTATTAATTAAAACACAATCAAATTTTCTAACAATGAAACATCAGAGAAGGGTCCTGCTGTTTTAAATATACAGCAATACCACATTTAGCTCTCAGGAAGGACTCCTAAAAACAGAGCTCTAAACAAATCAGCTCTAATTAGGGTTCTTTTAACATTACATATATGGAGATATGTAACTGAAAGCATTGTTTCTTACCTGTGAATGATGTATAAGTGCTTTATTTAGGTACTGATAAATTTAACTTAAATTACTCACTATAATATTGTCTTCCCTGGAAAAAATAATTTTTTATAAGCCTTCAATCTTGTTTGGTTACAGAGCCATCAAACAGAAAATCAGACCCCCCTGCCATGCTCACCTGTCACATCCTTTCTTTCAGGATTTGTCAATACATGTAGTTCTCTCTTACATTTACGACTACATTAATTATAATCAATAGACAGGCAAGTGTTTTGTCTATCAAATGATGTATTATATTAAGTTGTTTTCTGTACAGAGATTTGTAGATTGGTTCCTAAGAAAATGTTTTTTTCCCCACAGGAATGATATTCTGTAAATGGATGATCTTTTAATGGTTCATATTGCATCACTAGAAATGCAAGAAAAATTGTGATAGTTACAAGACACTGTCTATTTTTTGGATGTTATTATTCTATGTTATTTGTTGTATTATTTTATTAAATAAAAATTATTTACTGCACTACTACCATTAGTATGAAAAAGTAGTGTTCAGAGAGTTATGGATTTTCATAATGTTTTTTGCTCTCATGAAGAACTATCTCTCAAGGAGAAGACAAGAGCTCTATAACAAATCAGCTTAAAGTGGGGTCTTACTGTGTCCTAAAAAAATATTTTAGTTTTGGATATTTACTCAAAGCTACAAGAGGAATACCTTCTTTAATGATCCATAACTTTGAACTAATAGACTACAGGGACGGCAAATAGTCATCAGCACCTACCACTCTTGGGCCACTCTAATCAAATAGTGGAATTTGACTGTCACTCTTATATCATATACCCACATACAGGAGTGAAATTCTGATGGTACTCATTACTGAAACGTATTTTGATGCTGGTACTCAGTACCAGGACTTATTTGATCTGTATTTTTTTTGTCCAACCTGCATGTCAGCAAAAACATCATGATTCACAGAATATAAACAATCATTAAATATTCTTCAAATAAACCAATAAATAATCTAACAACATTAGTTCTTGATGGCAACATGATCATGAGAAGAAGTTATTTAGCAGCTTCTATGTCAATCATTATTAAACCAGTTTGGTAATTTCATCTAGCTGTGATCATTGTACACACTTGATATCAGTAGGTATAATGTGTTTTTATCATTCAACAGATTTAAAATAAAAAATAAAAAGGATATCTCAGGTAAATTTTTAATTTAGATGCTTGTTTAATATATATGTTTCTTTAAAACAGTCAAAATAATGGTTGTATGTATTCTATTCTGTTTATTAAACAATATTATCAACTACACATTTGTACAAAATCCTTTGTCATATGTGCATAATTACTGGCACTATTTTGTTGAGAATTTCACTACTGTTAACAGCCCTAAAATGTGGAGCATGATTTTGTGGTAAAGGGACACAAACCATGAACCCTAGGATTAAAAGTCCAGCATGCTAACCATTAGGCTATACTCAGCCCAAAATATTTTAAACTTTTAACATAAGTTCTATATATTTTTATAAAATTTATGATAATTTGATTCACATGCAACTCAACTACATAATAAACAAAGGTTGAAATTCAATTACTCTAAGATAATCAATCTTATACAAGAAAATACTAAGCAAATGTTTTCTGAAACTTTACCTGAAATTGGGCACTGTCAAAAATTTTTGTGTCAAGATCCTTAATGTCTACTTTCATAAATATTTACATAAAAAAATCATAAATGCTGAAACAGACAGATGGACAGCAGTCAAGATTCATGTATTAGGTCATCAAGAAATTAATGTCTTGTTTTGGAACACTTTCATTAACCACCCCTCAAAAACGTACATCACGTATAATAGTTAAATGAACCACCTAAA